GGGCAAAACCGAAATTGTCTAAACCTAAGGCGTATCATAGTGCTTGTAAGCTTTATATGCATGTGCTTCCTATAGCTTGATTGAGGGCATCTATGGAACGCATGTGGCCAGATTGCAGGCAATTACTTTGGGAAAGCGAGTTCTCTTCGGACGATTGCCCCTCAGGGTGAAGACCTATCTAGGCAAGTCCTTTAGATGAAACTACCAAGAATGAGCATATCTTCAATCTGATCCCTCATTGGCAAGCTTATGCACCGCAAGCTCTACTGAGGTGAGTGGCAACTTGCTCACTGGTTGATAATGGTGACTATACTGTAGTGAGAGGCTTCCTTTGAGGCAAGGCTTATTTTGACAGCATGCTCCTAATGGGACAAGGCTTATTTTAATAGCATGCTCCTAATGGAGTCCCGTAGAAAGAAACCTACTTAGATACCCAGAAGTTAACTAAATGGTCATATATGGGTATACATTTAATTCTTCGATTCATTTGATCCATCGAAGAGCGACTTACAAAAAAGAACCAAGTAAATATAAAAAGAAAAGTATTTAATGTCTTCACCAAATGATAAAAGGGAAAGTAAATGAGAATTACTAACCTATTTTTACTATTGTATTGAGTTAAGCGCCCTCCAAAATTCTCATTATGACATTGATTTGGCCAGTACACTATCTCTAGCTATAAATAATGGTGAGAGGTGATGGTGTGGTTGCACTCCTCTTCCTTTGCTTTAAATGTTTTCTACTAACTCAATTGAGAGATGACTGACTTAAATCCTTGCGGGTAATGGACAGTAAAGAGATAAGGAAAGCCCTTCTATATAAACACAACCCATTGGAAATTGAGAGAAAGAAGTCCAACAAGTCCGCATAGAAGAATAAGGCAACTAAGGTTGGGCCGAGTAGCTGCTAGGGAGGAGCCAAGTTAAACTATAGAAGTATAGCCGAGCAAGGCAACAGAGATTAGGCTGACTAAGTCCAAGGTAACCAAGCTAACAAGGTGATAGCGGTTGTGAAGAACAAGGTGAGGATAATCCTTGTGAGTTCTAATGATGTGGCTCTCCCTAAAAGGCACGCTAAGCAAGTCTCTTCATTGTAGGAAAGTCGCAAGGAACCAAAGGTGGTAAAATGCAATCTTGAAGCAACAACTCCTCCAAAAATAGTGCCAACTCAATCTCTTGTGAAACCCACTAAATCTTACGACCCCATGCTAGAGAAAGTTGGACAATCGTAAAAGACAAGAAGAGGTAAGAAGAGTTATTTCCTATATTCAAATAAATTAAATTTTTTTGTTGTGTGTAGCCAAACTCAAGCAAACCAAGTGTTCACCTGACCTTGAGCTAATTTCTAGGTCACCTATCAAGAATGTAGGAGACTTCAGCATTGAATCGATGAGCTCCAAGCTTGTACAAGAAAACCATGGACCTCCACAATAGGCTGCTCGAGACTACTCTTAGTCTATTGGATAAAGAGTTGCCTCTTCTTGATTCTTCTCTCATACTATAGAGGTGGCACCATTGATGCAGGATATGGCAAGCCAACACACACCTCGACCTCTACAAGAGACTATTTTGTGAGAAGAATGCTGAGGTCTCAAAGGTTGAGCATACAAAGGAGCATGTGTATCCGTCCCCAATCTAAGAACTCCCTGCTACCTTGTCCGTGATAACTCAAGTCCTCCCCACCCATTGGTGGACAGGATGTTGAGATCCTTGTCTTAGCGCCATTTTCCTTGGAAGCTCTTACTGAGTGAGTTCATGTATTAGCGAAGGAGCTTGCCCGCTCTCGAGCTGAGTCCAAGAAAAGGATTGAAGCCTTGGAGAATGCGAGCTCAGCAATGGACCCCAACACTATGCAAGAGGTGTTAGAGTTGAGGGCTAATGTGATAGTAACTCGCTGACTACTGAAGTCGTTGCAGTCGAGTCAATTCTTGGTCGATGTCCACTTCATCATATGACATCTAGTAAGAAATTAGTACCTCTTGACCTTTTGTTAGATTCATTGTATTGGTTATATCTATTAGAGTGAATAAGCTCCCCTATATGTAATATAATTTGGTAAGAAATTATGTATGTAAAAAGAAGTAATGAAAGTTTCCAAGTGTTGTGTATTCTTTTTGTTTGTGATTGCGAGTTACATCTTTGTAATTTTTTTTTTACTTGTTTCTTTTAAGATGACACTAGTTTTTTAATGCAAAGATTTTTTTTTTTAAATCTTGCCACATGAAAGTGATTATGATTTCTAATTTTCTATTGATGATGACTCAATTTTTTAGGTATAAAAGGGCTATATGGAAAGGTACACCTAAAATAATAAAAAAAAGATAAATAATCAAATACATAATGACACAGAGATGTGGACTAATGGTGCACATGTGGCATTTTGACTCTGATGTGATCCTCTAGCAGCTACCCAAGGTGAGATTTTGGGGGCGAGTGATTTAAGCGAGTCTGCGTAATTGGTATGTAATGAGAGTTTATGAAGGCGAGTCCTTATAAGTGAATGGCATGTTACATGGGTGGACGTGGTTGAAAGCAGGGGAAAAGTTCAGTTAGTGAAGTGGTGATCATAGGCTTTATAGATGTGCGCTTCATGTGTCTTAATTAGGAGCATCTCCGGAAGGTGGGTGGCCTTACTTGCATATAATTGTTGAAGGAGAGCAATATCTCTTGGGGTGAGTGCCCCTCAGGACATAAGGCTGTTTGGAAAAGTCTTCTAGATGAACCCATCAAGAATGGGTATATCTCTGATATGATTTTCCAAGGGCAATCTCGTACATCGCGACCTATGTTGGGGTGAGAGGCTACTTACTCAAACATTGGTGTTAATGAATGCTTTGCATGGTGAGGCTTCCTTGCTGAGGCTCCCACTAGCTGAGTCATGTGGACCAAAAACTGCTTAGATACCTACAAATTGCCAACATGGGCATATATGAGTATATAATTTGAATATCATTGATAGTGGTCCTCGCAAGTTTATTCTCCTTTTTTATCTATTATTCTATATAAGAAAAGGGCAAACTTTTATGGGATTGGGGATACCATATGTTTTTTAAACATGTAATTCACATGTTCCTTCACAACCTCTTTAATAGTGGCAAGCTCTCTGATGGTCAAAGTATGACCCAAATAATCCTCTAGAACCCACAAACCCATATGTGGGACTCAAAGGCCTTCTTGTATGAGATCCAACTCCACCAAGCTACTTCTCTTTCTACGATAATATCAATTCTTACTCTATCCAACCTGCTATAATAGAAGATGAAGTTGAGGGGAATGGAGACATTGAAGTCATGTTCCAATCAATAAAGCGCTCGTTGGAATACATGGTAGGTCATAATTGAATGAAGATGTGCCCGTATGTTTTAAGTAAATATATGGCACCTTGAGTCAAAGTTTCAGACCCATATTTTCCTTTGCTTTCTTGGTTTCTCCTGCATGAGGTGAAGATGCATACGAAGCTCTTTAAGGGAAAAGGGCATGAGAAGTAGCCCACTCACTCACAGACAATGTTAGGTAGAGATGTTATGGAATGTATTACCATGGACCACTGTAATAAACAAAGACTTCAACTTCCAAGCCCTTGACATATTGCAATCTTACCAACTAATTCACAATCAATTCCCATGACATTTGACACATATAAATCCTTCCCCCAAAAAAGATGATCTCAACATCAGCAATATTAATTTGTTCTAGTCATTATCTCCCAACCTTTCTTCATGTTTTATTAGATAGGTCATTTTGATGTTTAAAAAAAAAAAGAAATATAGATGATTTGGTATAATGGTAATTTAATAAACTAAAAAAAGTGGATTCATATCCAATTTGAATTGCCTATAAATATCTGAAAGAAACAATTGTTTCAACCACAGAACCTTTTAGTTGCCATCTGCATGCCTTCAAATAAGATGATCAATAAAAAAAAAAACACAAGTGATTTTTATATTTTAGAACAAAAGAGAGCAATATCAAATAAAAAATCACTTTACATGCAAATGAAAACTATTATGCAGAAGTTCATATACTAAAATCCACCTCATTCACCGCACTCATGTTTAGTGAGATGGATGTCGCATGCAATGACAAGTATATAATTGCAAAGGAAAGTGAGATAGAGTTCACAACTCTGTGCATCCCTTAGGAAGCATAAATATTTATAATAATGGAACAATAAGAATGCTAAAGGCTTGCAACCATAAATAAAAATAATAATAAAAAAAAGGCTTACAACCATAAACATTTTCAACAAATCCTTACAATGTAGCTTAAGAGATATATGGGAAGTGAAAAATATCATGATGCAACAACAAAGTGGGGAGCATAAACACAACATCAAAGTAAAAAATGTGTTAAAGATGTCACCAAAAGCATGAGTATTCATATGGAAGTCACATGCAGGCATTATAAAAACAATGTCAAGCAGATGTGCTCCTTATCCAAATCGCCAGCTTGTATATGGATATGCGACGCATAGATGATAAACAGGAAGAAGTGGCATTAAAGATGAGAAAGTTGCGCAACTCAATAATAAATCAAAACAATCAACATGGCAAGGTAAATCTTCCCAATAGCTAATGTAAATCAAAATAGTCATAATGACCCTGGGCTATTTGTGAGGGGTTATTTAGTCATAGTCTATTTAAAGAGTTCAATTTAAACCTTTTGACTCCTCAAATATATAAAATAACCCCACAACTTAGGATCACCAATATGCAAGGCATCATTAATCACTGTCTTCATGCTCTAGTGGTCATTGATGTTATAGTCACCATCGTGCCTAATGCCATTGTCTGTTAATGTAGTAACAATTGACTCTAATACAACATAATTAATGTCGCAAATCGCAATCAAAGTCAATGTCACAATCATTATTGATATTGTAATCTTTAAATCATTAATTAATCAAAGTATGATATATGCATAGAGTTGCTAAATTTTTTAGTTCATTACAATTGAATTTCTTATCTCCATCTTTTAAGGACAAGCCTTATCCATAGAACAATTTTAAATAGGAATTGCCTTTCAATACCAGAATGTAAAAGTCACAATGAGAATTCTCTATTATTTTCGACAAGCCCATTGAAATATATTTTTCCTAAAAATATATTTCTCTTGTGCAATTAAAACACTAGTTAAGACATATGCTTCTATAATTCAAATTTCATCAATTATAGTTCTCAAAAACAAAAATCGACCAATACTATTTTATAATAATTAAAGACAAATGAAAAAAATTATGTTAGGAAGTATCTATACCGTAGGTCGAGAAAAAACTGAGCAGACAGTGTTATCATGCCCTGATAAAGCACAGACCATAGCCTTAGTACGGATATCCCAGACCTAATGGAGATGCAAAAAATTCAAGCTTAACATTGAACAAACCATTTTGAAAGATAATCTAACTAAAGAGCATTTTGCAATTTCTTTGAAATAAAGAGTAAAACAAATTTCAAAGGGGAAAATACATACCCGACAAACAGAATCACGGCCTCCAGTCAACAAAATATCAATTGTTGGATGAAGAGCTAAGCAATAAACACCACTGAGGTGTCCATGATAAGATCGAATTACCTGGGAAGATAACAGATTATGATATATGCAATAAAAAAACTGGTTATGGCTTTAGAAATATTACTTAATAAGTGAACATTAGTAAACCTTATTCTGTTCAAGGTCCCAACATTTAACTTGTTTGTCATCACCAGCAGAGAACAGATACGTATGGCGTTGACTCACAGCAAGTCCTAGACATTTAAAGGAAACAAGTAATTGGTTTCTTATATTTTTTAAAAACTTTAAAGAATCTCCACTGAAGTAGTGCAGTTACTAATTTCTTCAACATATGCAACTAACCTCGGATTTGCTCAATATGTCCCGTCAATGTGAGTTTCAATCTTCCAGTTGCAACATCCCATATCTTTCAAAGAAACAGATGAATAGAAGAAGAGAGAGAACGAAAAAAATTAACATCCACACATAAAAGAAGATGATCAAAAGTATCATGGCACCTTAAAAAATCATCAAAGCAAACAGCCTACATCATTTTATCTCTTTGTCTGAACATGATTTCAAAGCACAAGTGAAAATGTCTGAGAAAAATAGATAGAAGAGGGAGGGATCACCAGGACATAAAGCTACTTCCCTTGTTTATTTATCTCTTTCTCTGAACATCATTTTATCCCTCAGCTTCCCGCCCCTGCCCCTACACCCTTATGTTCATCGCCACGAATAGCACCCACCATGAGGACAACACCAATGAGAGCAGACATGTTGTCACTAGTGTCCGTAAGAATATTTGAGATATATCTAGTGAAGTTCTCAATAAGGTATGACATATGTATAGTGATGCTTACCATGATAGCTAATAGGCGAGGGTGAGAAAGATATCCTCTCCTCCTAATTACCTTTTTCCTAGTTAATTATTTTATTGTGTTATTTCATTGAACCTGACTTAAATGTTTGTTATGACTTATAAGTTAATAAAGTTTTATTGAATGAAATAAAAATGAATAGTTGTGGAATAGATATACATCCTAAAATTTAAAACTTCAAGATTTTTCTCGAATGAATTATTTTTTATCAATTAACCATAAGTTTATAAAATTATTTGTCAATTATTATATGAGGCCATAATTCAAAATTCCAAGAACAGAGATTTTCAACAATTTATTCAAATATATATAAAAATATGACCATAAAGAATTTCTCTTACTTGATTGAGGAGACTACTTGATTGGTGTTATGGTTTGCATTGTTAGACATAGCTTACTTGCAAATGTGATCAATATGCCATAGAATGAAGTTTTTTTGAACCCTTTATAAGCCATAGCATTCAATGATAGAAGCAAAACTTGCTACATGTCAATGGTCTCCAACATTGAGTACATGTATGACAACTTTCACAGTGGAACCTAGAATAATGAATGGTGATGACAAATAAGGAATTAATTCCCATATAATAGAACGTGAGATTAAGCGGTCAGGCTCTGCAATGTCTCAATGGAGATCCTTGCTTGAAATTTATAAAATATTGCGTGAAAGTCTCTAATTTGTGCATGTTTACAAACTTGGTATAAACCTGAATATTTGAACCCTATGAAAACATAATTGATATGCCTTTTTAATTAGTAATTTAATTTTTTTGTTTAGCGCATAGAGCGGGTTTCCTAATTGCATTGACCCAAAAGAATGAACTCTTTTCCCATATTATTGAATCAGCAAACCTTAATGAGAAATTAAAATAACTAATATTTCATAGTTCAAGATACCACAAGTCTAAAGATGAAATCCAACCAACAAGACAATTTGTAATTGTACTTCTCCACAAAAGCCAAGCTTTATATATTAAGAGCTAAGTCAAGTCTTTAATGAAGAGTAGTATGAAATGTTTTATTATTCAAAATTGGCCAACTTGGGAGCCTTGAACTTTATATCGAGATTATAAGTACTAATAGCTAAGTACAAAAGACAAAAACCACAACAGCAGGGAAAAAATGTTCTAATATTACTAAGCACTGCATTTGCTATCCCTCACAAGGTATGCTTATATTTCTTGGGCTTAAGCATGATGCTATTGATTATGGGATAGAATTTCCATATAACAAATGATAATGTACCTTAAAAAATTAGGTATTTGTTTAAAATTAGGTATTTGTTTAAAAAACTCTGCTTAAACCTATCCCTAAGGGCTTATATATATAGACTTCTAAAATACAAGTAATCAGCCACCACCTGTTTCTAGTCCGGTCTGGGTTGGCTTTTTATGAATCAGTTTTCTGGAATAATCAAGCAGGCATGGTGTTGTTCAGCTCCTGCGTCACTCCTCTATTCATCTTTAGAAACGAAAACTATTTCTTCTTTTCCTTGAAAAATCTTTAGGTGTTTTGTCATTCACCTTCATTCTTAACATTGGAGCAAATTAAATCCTAGATCTAGCCATTGTATCTTTATTGGATACTTCTTAAATAAATAATGATACAAATGCTATTTTCGAGTCATTCTAAAAAAAATTATAATTCAATTGATTTAACATTCTTTGA